GGAGGACTTTCCCTGTGCCTCCAGCGGAGAGGGTCTTCCCCCTTTAATTCTAATTTCTATAGCCTCTGGATGGACCCCTTTGGAAATACTTTATCTTCCTTATCAGAACATAATTTTCATGAGGATAAGAATTTTTTTTCTTTTTCTTATCTCCAGCACTGAGCACAGTGTCTGATACAACTTAAGCAAGTGTTCATGAGTTTCAAGATAGTTAAGATCTGTTCAGACCAGAGGTGGGGAACCTGTGGCTTCAAGGCCACATGTGGCCCTCTAGGTCCTCAAGTGTGGCCCTTTGACTGAATCCAAACTTCGCAGAACAAATCCCCTCAACAAAAAGATTTGTTCTGTAAAACTTGGACTCAGTCAAAAGGCTGCACCCAAGGACCTTACAGGGCCATATGTGGCCTCGAGGCCACAGCTCCCATTTCTGGTTCAGACCCTAAGGTACTTCTACTCAGAAATTCTATTTTAACAGTTAGAGCAACAGTAATGCAAATGAATATATGCAAAATGCTTCATAAACAAAATGTTATATAAATGCTATTGTTATTATCATCATATTTGAAACATATATTTTTCTTTCCTGTTTCATTGCACTTCTGCACTGTGATACACAGTATTGTTCTAGAATTTCACAGTCCTAGTTTTACCAAATTATTAGTCAAATGTGAGAAAATTGTAACTTCTGTGAGCCACAGTTTCCTTATCTGTAAAATAGAGAAAATAATACTTGCAATGCCTTCCTTCACAACTTCAAAATGTTGTCATGAGGCTCAAAATGGGATGAAACACGAGTGGGTTCAAACACAAGCTGTGCCTTGGAGCTAGGCTTCCATGCTATGTTGCCATTTAGGACCAGGATCCAAGCTGGACACTCTGCTGTTGCAGCTTTCTCAAGTAGTTTTTTTAAAAAGGGATATTATCTAAAAGAGAAGAGACTGAGAAATATGCCTGCACTGACGTAGCATCCTTTTCTTTCTCCCCTTAAGCATTAGTGTTCTGAACACAACTATCTGATGATTTGATTGTTTGCAGTGTAGGATGACTTCTGATTGTAAACATGCTGTTTCTTTGGGTTGTTGTTACCTGGTATGTTTTAGTAATGCAACAGCTGCTGCATTTCAATGGACAAAAAGCCTTAGAGTATGTCGGAGGAAAGGCATGCATTTTTGGACTTTAAACTTCTTAAACAATTCCATATGAAGATGTGAGTGGTGGGATTTTTTATTTAAATTTTCCAAGGGAACTGCTCACCAAATTCTGAACTTTATGAAAGCTCACTTAAACATATCCTTTCTATAGCCTAGGTAGCCATCCCAGTGAAAGACCCAGAAGAACTCTAGAAAATCAGGCATTAGACACGTATTGGCTCTGGAGAAAACAGTGGCTCTTTTACCTGAAGTGTATACATACATTAATTTTTATAAAAGCAGCTCAAATAAGTAGGAAGAACATAGAACAAAGAGCTCAAAGAGCAAAAAGATAAAAGTCTATAAATATTCCCCATTTGTCTGGTAGGCTGTGTGATATATTGGAATGAACACTGAATCCAGCATGAGGAGATCTAAGTACAAGCCCTGGAGCCATATACCACTGGAAGAGAGTATTTGTCAACATTCTCACATTCTTATATTTAAGATCTAACCTCAAATGTTAGTCTGATGGGCATTAAGATAGGTCTCTTTCTCTTAAGTTTTATACAAGGTCTGTGGTCTTTATCAGTCAACAAGTAGGTCTTATTCATTCCTTACTTAAACATGTATAAGTCTTATATGGCTGTTGGTTCATTTCACTAAAGGAAATAGGGTGATAGCTGAATTTCTGTCAAGCTCATCCTGTCCCTGATAGACAGAGAGCAATGTTTTCTGTGGGCAGGATTTAATATAGTACAGGACAAAACCCTGTACTGGTAATGATGGTGACACCAGTGCCTTGAGATGAAATAGCAAAAGAATAAAGGGTATCTGATAATGAAAAATAGTCAACAGTATCTTGTTGAGTGGCAGTCATTACTGCAAAACAATATGAATTTCAGAATGACAGACTATTGTAGAGAGAATTCTTCTCAAGTAGGCATTGAATTGGATTTTTGAGATTCTTTCCAAGCCAGATTCTATATTTCTATGACAACCATGTTAAAGGGATAGAATAATTGATCTTGAATAGGAAAACATGTCTAAAGCTGTTCCCTGACACAAAACCTCCATGATTTAATGCTAATATTATCCTTATGTCCATAAGTTGATGAATGTTTGGTCAGAATAACTATCTAAGACCATCTACTAAGTTATAGAATGATTGTGATGTGTGTTAATGAAAGGAGTATCCACACCAAAGAAATCACAGACACCAGAAGTATTGAGGTATTCCCCCAGGGACTGAGTATTTGGAGATTTTGGTGATGCTTCAAAAAAGGGCAATGGAGAGATGCATGGCAAGATGTAGGTCAGCTTCAATGTATTGCCAATGATTACTTGAATAGAAGAAGTGCTTTAAAAGATATCACCAAGGCTTCAAGGGATGATCAGAAAAGGAGGTGGACCAGTCAGATAGCAGTCACTACAGTGTACCAACCAAATGTTCAAAGACTGAAGGGAAGGCCTCTAACACATTAGATAGACTCTTTATTGGAAGATTTGTGGGAAGGTGAGGACAAGAAGGAATGGATGGGTTGTACTTTCAAGGAGATCGTAAGCCATTGAAGGATGTGAAGAATCCCAACAGTTCTGTGATCTAGGCTAGTATCATTATCTTCATTTGAGGGGAAAGGGATGAAAAATAAATGATGTTCCTGTGGTCACACAGCATGCCAGAGACAGGATTAGGACAAGAATTCATTGCAGGCAAATTTCCCATTTACTGCTTAGCTGTCATCCATTCTAGTATTTCTATTGCCATGTTTCTTAGTACCTACACTAAGGTAATCATAATATGGTCATTCCTATAGTCTCAGATATATAAAAGCAGCTGAAAAACAACTGAAACTGAAACTATCAACAACAGATTTGTATAACACTTTATGTTTCTGAAGCACTTTGAAATCTGTTATTTCACTCAAAATCATAGCCCACTGAAAATAAAATAAAATCAAATATTTAGGGCTGTAAGGGATCTCAGAGGTCATCTAGTTTGAGCCTCATTTTACAGATGAAGAAACTGAGGCCCACACATGGTTAAATGGCTTACCCAAGGATATACCCAGGTTCCCATGTATGAGACTTTATATCCCATACCCTTTCCATTGTACCATATTGCCTCCTAATTTTTTTTTTAGCACATCCTCACAACCCTCTGAAAGATACAAGATGAGTTACAATCCCCATTTTTTGTGGTAGGTTGCTATCAAGTGATATCTTATACAAGGTCACAGAGAGGAGGGGTGTCAAACTTGAGGTCCACAGGCTGCAATCAGTCTTAAAACTCCCAACTGCAGTTTGAATAGATTAAAATATAACTGGGAAATGTTGAACAAAGCAAATAAAAATATAATACAACATAGACAATACTAATTTGTGGCCTTCTAAGTCAATATACAGCCTAATATACAGGGTTCTATTTCTACTTGAGTTTGATACCACTGAGGTAGGGAGTCTGTGCTAGATCTTGGGTCTTAAATTTGTTATCTGCTCTTCTTTCCACTATGTCATATTGCTTTTCATGCTGCATCAGATGATTTAATTTTGATTCTTTTCAACATTTTCATTAGTTTTCTCCTAAAAGAAAAAATTTGCCCCATGAGATTGACAGAGATAGGACCTGGGCCTGTGATTTCATTGTTCTAAGGAGTAGATACTTGCCTAGGACACGGAGAGGTTAATTGACTTGCCCAGGGTCACACAATCAGTAAATGACAAGGGTGAAATTAAACTCAAGTCTCCCTAGGTCTGAGAAGAGTTCTCTATCCTCTATGCCTCAATAACTCTCAGCATAAAATAAAGATTTAAACAGTTTAGATTTAAACTACCACCCACATTTAGCTTTCCTTAAAGAAATGACACTTTTTCGAAGTACCTTTGCAGCGCTGTTCAAAGAGCAGAATCAGACTGCGTAATATACGTACAGCATTGTGATGGTCATATATGTACAGGAAAAGGAAAGCGTTCTGCCCAATGTCGACTTCTCCCTACTCATTACAAACTACGTGTAGACTGCTGATCTGTACAAACTATGCCACATCACAGTGTTCTATGCCACACGCTGTGCCATACTATGCTATATTAGAGTACACATCACATTCTAGTCATGTGGGACACCTTTGATTTATACTTTTGTGGTCATATTACTGCTTTTCCTTGAAATATAACATAGACAATGTATTGCATAGCTTTCAAGAATCTATGATTTTTTTTTTTTTGGTATAGGTCTTTCCTCTACAAATGTAGATTATAACCTCTCTTTGACTAGGCAGATGGTCTTTGAGGATTGCTGTGGCTGAGACATTTAGCATTCTGTGGTCAGTCTCCTGATGAGCCTCTGTTATGCTGGGCCTCACGCGACAGGCATTTAATGTGTCCCGGGGGCATTCTTGAAGCTCTTCCTATTGGTTTTGTTGTTGTTTCTCAGTTGTTTAGTCACATCTGAGTCTTTGTGACCCCAGTGGGGGTTTACTTGACAAAGATACCGGTTTCCTTCTGCTGCTCATTTTACAGCAAACAGGGTTAAGTGATTTACCCAGGGTCACAGTTAGTGTTTGAGGCCAGATTTGAACTAAGGAAGATGAGTCTTCCTGACTCTAGTCCTGGCACTCTATCCACTGTGCCACCAAGCTGCCTTTTCCATGTTCATAGGATTTGCAAAAGCTTGCATTCCATTGCAATAGTGCTAGAGAGTCCAAAGTTACCTCCTTACCAGGATAAGAAGCTGAAATAAGCATTTAGTAGAAGAGGCATTCTCTCAAGAAGACAGAAATTTTCAAAAAGCCACCATACAGTATTAGATAAAATATAAACAACCGATGATGGGTAAGAAAGTAAAAGATGAAACGGTTTGTGATCACTTACGTTGTTGATCATAAGGTGCATTATTGTTTTGGGAATCAGGTCCCGGATGCACTTGTTGGTGATGGACATGTAGGAGTCTACAAGGTTGCGAATGGTTTCCACTTGTCTCTCTAATTGTGGGTCCATGGAAAAATTTTCTGCTTGACCACTCTCATCATTGTCAGCCTAAATAGAAATAAAGACAAAACTTGTTTTAACAGCATCCCCTTAGTTCAAGTGAAAAAACCCCCCCAACAACATCAAATAACCAATTTCATCATGTCCAGTGTGTTTAGCATTTTTACCACTGAGTGGCAATACACTTTGTATTATTTCACACCAGATCAATCTGCCATTAGTGGGCCCTTGTAAGATCAGAAGCAAGGTAATGTAGTGCCAAGGGTGCTGTACTTGGAGTCACAGAAGCTGGATTGTTCAACTAAATTGAGATGATAAAATTTAGAATTTTAGATTAGGAAGGAAAGTTTGAGATCATTTATTGTAATTCTTCTAATTTTGCAGTTTAAAAACCAAAACCAAAACCAAACCCGTAGCCCAGAGAAATAAAGTGACTTGCCCAGAGTCATTTAGGTAATGAGCAACAGAACTGGAATTCGAACCCAGCTTCTTTAACTTCAGATTCAAAATTCCTGCCTGGTTTTCCTCATGCCACATATTCAATCCATAGCCAAATCCTGTTTCTTTCTTAAACATTTAATTAATTTATTTTCTCAAGGAACAAATATTTATTTTCTTTCTCTCCCACCTTCTCTTAGGAAAAGGAAAAAAAATTGTAACACATATGCGTAGTCAGCAAATTCCCAAACCGTCCCTTTCCAAAAACGTATGTTTCATTCTACATTTTGAGTCTATCCCCTTTCTGTCAAGAAGTGGGTAGCATTCTTTGTTGTAAGTTCTTTTAAAACATTGTTGGTCATGGTTAAATCTTTCAAAGTTGTTTGTTATTACAATGTTGTTATTGTATAAATCATTCTCTTGGTTCTACTCATTTCACTGCATCAGTTCACACAAGTCTCCCCAGATTTCTTTGAAATAATCCCTTTTGTTATTTCTTATGGCAGAATAGTATTCCACTACATTCATATAACATGATTTGTTGGGCCATTCCCTAATTGACAGGTGCCTCCTCAGTTTCTAGTTCTTTGCTTCAACAAAGAGAGCTGCTATCTATATTTTTTGACATACAGGCCCCTTTCCCTTTTTCTTTGATCTCTATGGAGTATAGTCCTGGTAGTGGTATTGCTGGATCAAAGGGTGTGCCTATTTTACTTTGGGAGCATAGTTACAAATTGCTTTCCAAAATCACTGGACCAATCCATGAGTCCACCAGCAGTGTTCCTGCTCTCCCATAGCCAATTTAACAATTGCCATTTTCCTTTGTTATCATCTTAGCTAATGTGTTGAGTATGCACATGAGGTTGCATTTCTCTAATTACTAGTGACCAAATATTGTTTCTAACATCATAGTCTCTCTCCTATATGAACCCTTCTCTTTACTCACTGCCACTATCTAGTTCAGATCCTCATCATGTCTAGGCTAGACAATGGCCAGTAGTCTTCTAGCTGGGCACCCAGCTTAGGTCTCTTCCCTTACCAATCCATTCTCCATTCAGCTGCCAAAGTGATTTTCCTAAAGGTAGTGTAGATCTGACCATGTGATACTCCACCTCCACCCAATAAATGCCAGTGGCTCTCTATGACCTACAGAGTCAAATACAACATCCTGTGTTTGACAGGCCCTTTCACACCTTTCCAATATCCTCACACTTGACTCTCCTTTATGCACCCTATAATCCAGCTGCATCTGGTTGCTTACTGCCCTGTGGATACAGCATTTTATTTGCCATCTCTGTCTCTGTGCTGTTGAACTAGCTTCGCACCATGCCTGAAATACATTCCCTTTTAACCACTGTCTTTCAGAGTCCTTAGCTTCCTCAAGGTCTCAGCTGAAACATCACCTTCGGTGGGAAAACTTTCCTTTCCCTTAAGGCTCCGACACTAGTGCCTTCCCCTCTGAAACATCTTTCAATCTACATCGTATGTCTCTTATACATACCTACTTCTTTACAAGTTGTCTCATTAGAATGTGAGCGTCCTGAAGGCAAAGGCTGCTACTTGCTGCTATCTTTCTTTGGATCCTTATGACTTAGCAAATGCTTGTTGACTGACTAACCTAACCACTCCTTTTCAATCTCCTCTGCTTTTTTACCATCCAAATTATACTTTCTAACTGTGGGTATTCCCCAAGACTTTGTCCTTTTCTTTCCTTTTCTTCTTCATCTATGCTATCTCTTTTGGTGACTGAATCAGCTCTCATAGATATAGATATAGATATAGATATAGATATATCTATATCTATATCTATATATATGTATATGTATGTATGTGTCTCTATTAAGATGACTCACATATATCTAGCCCCACTTTCTCCCTGAGAGTCAGTCTTACATCATTAATTGGCCACTGGACATTTTAAACTCAGTGTCCTAGAGAAACCTCGAATTCGGCACGTCAAAAGCAGGACTCATTATCTTTTCCCCAAACTCATACCTCTTCTAATCTTCCCTCTTCTGTTGAAAGCACCACCATTCTTCCTGTCTACCAGATTCATAACATGCTATTCTCTGCTCTTCATTCTCTCTCACCCTCATTTCTAGTCAGTTTCCAAATCTTGCCACTTCAACTTCCATAATATTTCTCATGTTGGAGAAATTCTCTGTATTTACATAGCCACCACCTTGTTTAGGCTCTTTCCACCTTTGGATGAGCTTATTTAAATAGCCTCCTAACTGGTGTTCTTGCTTCAAGTCTCCCCAGGCCAGTTCATCCTCTGTGTTGCTGCCAAAGATTTTCCATCAGTGCTGACCAGATCACATCAGTTCCCTACTCAAGAATCTCCAGTGGCTCCCTGCTGACTATAGGATACAACCTCAACTTCTCTCCTTGGCTTTTAAAGTAAGCCTTTTCTAACCTGGCTCCAGTCTTATTGGACATTCCTCCTGTTCTTAAACTTCAGTCCAGAAAAACTGGCCTTCTCCCTATTTCTCATCTAAGACACTCCATTTCCTCTTTCCATGCCTTTTGCACTGGACGTCCACCATGACTGAGATGCACCACCTCTTTACCAGCTTACCTTTACCTGATAGAATTCCTTTCTTCCTTCAACATGCAGCTCAAGTACCATCTTTTGCATGAAACTTTTTCAGACCCCTCCAAAATTACTTTGTATTTAACTATTTTGTGTGTATATATATATGAATTATCTTTATTATTATTCTACATATACTCATATATATATGAATTATCTTTATTATTATTCTGCATATACTCATATATATATGAATTATCTTTATTATTATTCTGCATATACTCATATATATATGAATTATCTTTATTATTATTCTGCATATACTCATATATATGAATTATCTTTATTATTATTCTGCATATACTCATATATATATATGAATTATCTTTATTATTATTCTGCATATACTCATATATATATGAATTATCTTTATTATTATTCTGCATATACTCATATATATATGAATTATCTTTATTATTATTCTGCATATACTCATATATATATGAATTATCTTTATTATTATTCTGCATATACTCATATATATGAATTATCTTTATTATTATTCTGCATATACTCATATATATATATATATATATATATATATATACACACACATCCTTGCATTTATATTAGAATATGAGCTTCTTGCCATTAGAGGGTGTTTCATTCATTGTATTTGTATTTCTGGTGCCTTGCACAGTGCCTGTTTAGTAAATGCTTGATTAACTGATTGGCATGACACCCCAGCAGCTTCTCTTCTAATGGAGCTCTGAACTTTTGGGGAGAGACTAGAACTAACCCATCCCAGGGATTCTCTAGATTATAAATGAGCTTGTGCTGGAATTCTTAGGTCTTTTCTAGCTTAAAGCATGCTTTTCAGACTAAACCTGGCTCAAATCTGATTCCCCAGGGCTGGCACAGATGAACAAGAGGAGCCACAGGGTACAACTGACCCCACCATTTGCTTTCTGTGATTTATGATGACTGTGTTTTTTCAGGGTTCTGCCACCACTACCAAACACTAGTTGCATTGCAAACGTATTACAAATTCACCTGCCAACTTGTTCGTTGAATGAGACAAAAATCAATAAATTATCTGTGCAAAAGAGAGTAGAGAAGCATCTGTTTTCTGTATCATGAAATCTGAGTTCATTAATTTTGATTTATAGGAAACAGATTGTATTAGTATGTCATCTTTGTCATTTAGTGTTAATCCATTGGCTTAGCATTGAAATCAGAATAAAGATTCCACATATAAATCCAGTTGAATTATCTAAGCCCCAGAATACCAGCATGTTACTATAATAGTATGGCTAATTTTAAATATGAATATAAAAATAAGGAAAATAATAATTTATTATCTTCAATACTGACACAAAATAGAGATCTTTGGAAATGTACACTCTGATCTGTTCAGATTTTAATCCACTAGCAAATATTAATTGAATATCTACTATGTGCAAGGCACTATGCTAAGTATGTTGTTTAATTATATTTATAAATGACAATTCTAAAGTCATTACAAATTATTTATCCTGTAGGTAGGAAAGCCATAGTGCTAGAAAGCAGCACAGAGATCATCAGAGGATAAGAGAAGAATCTCTGTGTTTTGGCAGTATTTTGAGTGATTGTCATTACAGTCACTTGCTGATTCCCAGAGTCACCATACATCTACAGATTTCTTAGGGGAATGGTGATGGGGCTGCTCTAGAGAAATATGTTGTGGTCTCCTATGTTGTCATAGGGAAGATAAAGGATTTTTTTTCTTGACAGCTGTTTTCCCTACAACTTATAGAAAATGACTTCTTTGGACATTGGTAAAAAAAAAATGATTAAACCAATTCTCCTACGAGACTCCTTGCCTGAACAGGAATCTCATCTTTGTTTTTATTATTTTTGGGGGGAGGGGAGAAGGAGCGAGAGGTAGAAGGTAGGTCAGAATTAAGGACAGAGAATAGGATATGGGGTACAAGAGGTAGCAAAGAAGACAGTACAGAGGAGAAAGGGAGGCAGGAAAGGTCAATATTGTTTGTATCAAAATTGGCCAAGTTTCCAAATCTGCTCACTGAGTTTCATG